CGCACTATCGTTCTCAGCTTTCCAAAAACAAGCCCCTCTCCAATTTTCAGATCTTTAAAACTACCATTACCGAGAAGCTTCTTCTCTCGGAAAGATACTCTGGTTCACACCAAACCTCATACATGCATTTTCTATTTCTCGAATGTGTCTCATAATCTCTATAAAATTAAAACACTTTCTTATTTTCATAATATGTGTTCACCCTTTAATTCTGGCTGAATAATGTAGATACTCATCTCTCTCAATAAAATTATTCTCTCTAAATAAAGATTATGACCGGTCATCTCTTTGTGGAAATTAAGAACAATGAGTCACTTTTGATCTAAGTAAACAGCCTCGATGTTTTTTCTCCTTTCTGATCCATGTTTTTTCTCCTTTCTGATCCTTTGAAATGATTTCCCAAGTCCCTTAACCAAAAACAGCATCGTATCTCAGCACACAAACTTAAAACTGTAAGATCAACTAAATAAATGAACTAGGTTAAAATTTTAATTTCCAAAGAGGTATTTGTTATGTGTTTATTTTGAATCAATTTATCCGTGATTCTTTTTTAGAGGTATTTTTTACACCCAAAAGGCTGTGCAGTGCAGTGGATCTAGGTGCAATCTAATACAAAAAAGAGGAAAAATTAAGATGTATGGATATGAACGAAAATGGAATTCAAGTCTTGGAACTAGTGCATCTTGTAATGCATTTTTTAGACCATCAATTTTCAAGTGTTCATAGATATGCTCAATCTACACTATTTTTGAAGTTCTAAATCTTATAATTAGAGGTGAAATAAATTTTCAAGCCATCACAAAGATTTTCAATATTGAAACATATTTCGATACCATTTGAAGGTGTGCATTGTTTAGGGCCCCAACATTATACAAACTACCCACCTTCTTAAAAAGCTCTACTTTAAAATTGAAAAATGGTTTGATATGACTGCAACCCTATCGAAATAAGTAAAGCCTCACCTCATAACTCATCGAATATTTGCAATTCAAGTGTTGAAAACCTTTACATTGATCATCTTGGCTTGAACATTATAATTGGTGAAAAATTTTAGGATTTCAAGCTCTAAAAATAGTGTAAATTATAACAAATTATCTTGAACGTCCATTTCACCCTAAAAATACGTATTCATAGATCTGCAAGATCTTTACCATTTTTTTAGTTTTAAATTTCATTGTTGTTGTTGTTTAAAATTGATTTTAGATCCATCATAGAGATTTTTATTACTGAAAGTTCTTTCTAGACAAGTATTTGAGGCGATGCTTTATTTTGATTTCATAAAACCGAGGCCTTAAAGAAACCTTATCCTTTAATATTTGCTCTCTCGCATATAGGTGGACAATTTAATACTGAGTCTGTCTTATACTTAGATGAGGTTTCTATAAGACGTAGGGAAAACAAAATAAAACGTCTCTTGCATATAGGTGGACAATTTAATACTGAGTCTTTATACTTAGTGATGAGGTTTCTATAATACCTAGGTTTTATGAAAACAAAATAAAATGTCATCCTTCATAAATATCAACAATATGTTTCTTATGGTAATTGGGTTCATGAATTATGTCAACAAGCAGTGCGAGCTGTAAGATATATTGGTCAAAGTTTCATGATTACCTTATCTCACGTGAATCGTTTACCTATAACCATCCAGTATCCTTATGAAAAATCGATCATATCAGAGCATTTACTGGGTGCGAGCTGTAAAATATATTGGTCAAAGTTTCATGATTACCTTATCTCCCGTGAATCTTTTACTTGTAACCAGCCAGTTTCCTTATGAAAAATCGATCACATCAAAGCATTTTCGGGGGCGAATACACTTTGAGTTTGATAAATAGTTCGGAAAGCACTTTCGGGAAATGAAATCTCCATGATGGCTATAAAATCAATTTCCAAGGCTAACAATAAAATTTGAAACTAATAAAGAGATAGGCACTTTCGACAAAGAAAATCTCCATAATGTCTATCAAATCAATTTCCAAGGCTAACAATAAAATTTGAAACTAAAAAAGAGATAGATATTGTGGATCTATAAACACTTATTTTTAGGGCGAAATAGACTATCTAGATAATTTGTTACAATATATACTATTTTCTAAATAATTTGTTACAATCTACACTATTTTTATAGTTTGAAATCCTAATTTATTTTTACAACCATAATTTTTAAATAGAGATGATCGATGCGAAGGTTTTTCAAATTTTTCCCTCGCATAAAGGATTCCGTTGTCGTGCCACACGTCACGTGCTAATATGTCCCAGTTGTCCTGTTGAATTTACATTGTCCTGTTGAATTTACGTGCTAATATGCGATAGTGTAAGATCGTTTTTTAGGCATTTATTTAGAAACAAGGTTTCTTTAATAAGCTGGCTGACTCATCTATTTAAATGAAGGGATTGTTTTTTTTGTGAGCTGGCTGATCTATTTAAATGAAGGGATTGTTTATAAGGAGACCATTTATCTTCTATAAGGTAACAATTATTCTTGTTTTTTAAATTTCAAAATAAATCGTTGTATGAATGTCATTGAATACACACAAAGTTCGAAAAAAATTTCTCAGACTTCGTGATCACCCATATTCAAAAAGATAAATGGTCTTTACAATCTCTTAAATGCATCCTTTATCTAAAAAACTATTTTGGAGATCCATTTTGGATTCAAAATTGGAGGGAATGAAGATCTCAACCATGATAAGTAGGAACCTGCAAAAATAAATTTTAAAAATAAAAGACAAGTTTTTGGCATGGTTTTAACGCAGTCGATTTAGAGTTTTTGTGGGTCTACCATTTTCTAACAAGATGGATGTTACATGCGCCACGTATGCTAATGTAAAAATGTTATTTTGAAAAGGGTGCAGCTTTTGTAAGGTCTCAACCTTAAACTATCAAAGTAAGGCGCACTTTTAAATATAGCTAAAAAAAATTGTAGTCATAGGGTAAAAAAACCCAATGACCAGAAAGTATATTTCACCTTAAATATAGAATTTAAAGCCCCCGAAAATAAAGTAGATTTAACGAGTTTATAAACATTTGAATTTTTTGAAAAAGATTGGATACAAAAAGACCATTTACCTTTTATACAAAGAAGTCACAATCATTTTTGTCTCTTGGATTTCAAAATGGATGGTTATAAAAATGCCATTGATTAGACACAATGTTTCAAAAAAAAAAAAATCTTGACCGGCCAAGCTAGCCAATCTGACATCTAATGAGTGAAAATAGTTGTGACCTCCTTACACAAAAAGTAAATGATCTCTTTGTAGGCAATCTCATTTTGAGAACGAATGGTTAGAATAATGTGATATAAGATGAATCTAGGCCTTAATTTTTTTTTTTTTTTTCATTTCCTATCCATACAATTTTAAGATAAGATCATCAATTGGTTTTTTTTTGTGGAGGAGCCTTTTTCAAATGGATTTTTTAGATCCACCTCACTCCTATGTAGGAGCTTGACCCCTTATATAAACATTTAGGGACACTGAAATTGGAGTTGGTTTTGTGCAATGGAGAGGTGCGCAAGGCACAGGCAAGTGGGGCAAACCTGTTCTCTTGAATTCGGCACAGGCAAGTGGGGCAAACCTGTTCTCTTGAAATTCGGGCCATGCTCAAGCAGCAAGATAATTTCAGGCTTGATTAGGGCTATTAACCCGGCAAGTTCTGGCCTAGCCAGCGTAGTATATAGACCACGGGCACATGCTCGAAAGATTAGTTCCACCCGTCCTGAATTCATGACAACTACAACTAGGTCCGAGCGCAAACCAGGCCCGAAAAATCGAGTAGGGATGGGCTAGGCACTATATAAATCCCACAAAAGTATTTATTGAAATATATACTTCAAAAAAAATGGTTTAATGGATCAGACTCACCAAAACATGTCTCCCCTCGTGCATCAGACTCACCAAAACATGTCTCATGCATCATACGTCCATCCCAACATGCATCTTAGAGATGGACGTAAAAAAATAAAAAATGTTTTCACCCTGCCTCAAAATGTATGTGAAAAAACATACTAAAAAAAAGGTGTGGTTCTATAGAGCCGAGGCCTTATACAATCAAAGTAAAAGGCACCTTCAAATAGTGTTGAAAAATGTGGTTTCAATACTGAAAAAACAGCCTTAAAATATATTGCACTATTTCCAAAAATTGAAATCCATGTTTCTCATGTCTGCATCTTGATGTGGAGATGATCATTTTGAGGGTATTTGGACATCAAAACAACTTACTCTAGTAAAAATTTTGAGGTGGGCTCTAATTTGATTGTTTAGAACCTTGACTGAATATAAAACTTTTTCCTTTAAAAAATATATAATTTTTAGTTCTTAAAAACAAAATCCATAAACAAAACAACACAATAGCTGAGATTAACAAATCTCAAAATTTTGGACCCAAAATCATTGATGTAAAGATGAATTTTCAGGGGGGACCTACAAATCGATAGGTGAGTCAGCTGACTTAAAAAACACTTTTCCAAAAAAAATTAAAAAAATTGGACTAGGCCACTAACAGCCCAGGCCTGGCCCCAAACCAGGATGGACAGCGTCCGGACACACACCCGGTAACATCCCTAGCTGCTCCGGCTCAAGCCCCATTTTGAATCTTTGAAAAATGAAAATAATTCAGGTCTAAAATAAGAAGTATACTCCCATAAAATTTTAGCCTCAAAAAGCATGCTAGCTATCCTGTCTGACGTAAACAATTAACGCATTCCATTGTTAACATCGGAGAGTTGAGGAGCTTCTAGCATGCTGTTCAAATTTCAGAACCCAAATGCCATCATCATATCTTTCATTCCCTCACAATTAATAGGTAGTAGTTATTTATATATATATATATATATATATATAGAGAGAGAGAGAGAGAGACCAAGAATTCCCAATCGCTAAACTAGAGAGAGAGCGCGAGAGAGAGAGATTGCCAAGAAATCCTAACAGCTAAACTACTTGCAATCAATACCTGCTATGTAGAGGCCCAACCCCACAGAAATAAAGCACACACCAAGCTCCAAACCAAACTCAAAATGAGCTCTCATTTCTCTCAAATACAGGAAGCTTATACAACAGATCAACAAATTGTAAAATGAATGAACACTATCAGAGTTGCAAAAGCACAAAAGCTCTTATTGTATCCATTTCCTCATTTAGGAACATCGATGAATTACATAACAGGCAATCATTTTTTTTCTTTTTCCTCAATAAATAACAACAAGCAATCTACAAATACAATACAAAAGATGAAAAATCAAGCTTTTGTGATCAAAGAGCATAAGAAAGCCAAACCTTCAAACCATGGAACTTGATGCCTCTTCTCAAGTCTTAACTAGCATGTCTCTGATATATGTATTTTGTTCTTGGGTCGACAATGAGTCCTTTTCCTCCATTCACCTCAAGATCATGCCTAAACAAGAAATATTTGCAAAGATCAATGCTAAAAATCCTGTCAATTGATCACAAACAGTAGTAGCCCAAGTGACGCGCCTTTAGGTTCGAAAAAAGGGGGCCTTCTGCCCCACCGACTTACCCAAAAAAAAGGGTATAAAATTATAAATAGTCACATTGAGAAGAGGCCAATCTGATAACCAAAGGTTGGATATATTGATGGATATTCAGAAAAATAATAATGCACTTCTTACCTTTCTATTTTTCTGCTATTTATTTTTTATATTTAAAACAACTAATACAAAGTGGAAATATATAAGGTGATATTTTAAAAATACCAAATGCTGTTTGTCATTTGGTAGTTCAAAACCCAATATCTAAGCCCTTTACACCATTATGTAACAGCTAATGTACTTCAAAAACAGCAGTGATATTTGATGGTATCACCTGATCTTCATACCTGTCCTCATATCATGACAGGCTAGATCCGGAAACAATATATCCGTTGATATATCTGACATGATCGTGGCTTTTTTAAATTTGGAAGCAACAAATAAAGAGGTAAGGAAAAGGGTAAAAAAAAAGAGAGATATCGCTTAGGACTGGGTCATGAGCATCTGTTGAAAAGGTCATAATATTCTGACTTGTTAGAATGGAAATGGCCAAGCAATGGATATCAGAGTTCACAGAAATAAAAATGGTTAATTGGTAAAGGTGATCGCAATAAGTCTAGTTTTGATTAATGGAGGACTTCCGGTAATGTTTTGAAACTGTTATTTAAAATATTAAAAAACTAATATTTGCTCTTAGTAATACAGAAGATCTACACCTTAACAAAAAATAAACATCTAAAAAAAGCTAATGCTCTGATGCAATTATCTTAAATCTGTGCTGTCTCTATAGTTCCCACCATTCCCGATAGTCATGGATCACAGGAAAGGAAAACATGAACAGGAAAAATTTGATGTGAGAAACTCACTGGAACACGAAATCGGGGATGGTCAGCTGTTCACGAGGAACATATCTGAACAGTTGCAGAAGGCGATCAACGTACACAACCTTTCGCCACACCTAAAGAAAAAAACCAGAATTTTCAAATACACTTCAATAGCTATCCATTTCATTTTTTATTTTACTTCATGATATATTATTTTGATCCTTTTGGGTGGGAGGGGGGTGCAGTTTGTAAGGGAACTCCATTCCAATCCATATCAAGGAATTCATTACTGAAACTATAGGGGAAAGAGAACTGACTTCTCCATCTACTAGCAACTGTAAAGCCAAGATTGCTGCCTTCAACCCCATTGTAGGATGCAAAACATAGATAGCCTGCATAAATTATCATCAAAATATAAGAAACCCGCCTGACAATTTTTCTTTTTTCACTAAAAAGAAAAAAGAGAGACCAATGAAGTGACACTAGAACTCCTTTTGTGTTATTTGGAAAATTTATCAAACTACTCATAAAATTAGAACTATTTTTACATTTTACTTATATTTCTCAATAGCTCACGACTCTTTTGATCAAATTTCAAATAGCCCATCAAATGACACATCAAAATGTATTTCGAAATTTATCAAATTACACCTAGGATAATTGTTAAGTGGTTCAATTTTTAAGTGCATTTTGATAAGTTTCCCTTATTATTTGTACAACCAATTAAATGATAATATAACCATGGGAATGGCATCTTATTTTTAGTTGTAGTTTTACATACATGGAGATTACGCTGGTGTTTTCGGCCAAGTATCTGTTGCAACCGCTTCATCCATCCTAAATCTGGCTGCCTGTTCAACTCAAATGGAGTAGAATGCTCAGTAGACCAGTAAGACAGCTTCACAGGAGAAAGAGAACATTTAAAGCTAGATAAGAAAAAGGATTGCGGATTGGTAACTAATTGGCTCTATGATTTAGGCTAGTCAATATTGTACACAGTGTGAATCTAAAATACATATGCTAACAGTGTACAACTAATTATATATCTCATGTAGCCATCATAACCCAGGCCAAACTAATCAAAGGGGACTGACAATAACAAAACATAATTCTTTTCAGGCTAGGGCTAACACAAGATTGGGTAAGCCCAATCTCAACTCGACGATTCTAAGCACACACCAAACTTTGACTCACAAAGAACCGAACCAAACAGAAATCCCAAAAAAGAGGGCATAGAAAACAAGAAATGAGTGCCTATAGAAACAAACTAATCCAATGTATTTCAAAATCTTGCAATAAATAAATTAATAAACTGCATTCACAATAGTACTTAGAAAATTACATAAAGAAATAAATTAAACAGTACTCACAATTGTAAAGATGCTGCCGAATGGAAGTAGACAATGGTATAAGGCTTCTGTATCAAAGGTTCAAATTCCTGAAAAAAAAAAAAATTTAATCAAAGTAGCAGCTTACAGAAGTAGAACAAAAGCTTACAAAAACATCTCCATGAGAGAATTTCAGGCTTTCAGCACGATAAGCATGTTACACCGGTTATCATCATTGATTTAACAGACACATAACTCCCACTTCTCCTTTTTTCTTACAATATGTGACAACCAGTTAAGCCACAAATCTCATGATTCTGAAGTTGAAGGAGAGACAATATGACCACCTCAAACAGAAAGACTAATTTATGCATTCTAGATATCAGTAACAGTTGCTGACAAGTCAGCTAGGATTACACCTGTGGATCTAACAGAGCACAGTGATTTCTAGGTCCAGTAACTTTATACATGAAGACATAAAATATAAAAGGAGCAGCGCCTTAATTTCAGGTAAAGAATTGTTTGCACTATTCTCTTGACAATCAGAGCATTTCATTCATAAAAATTTGACTTGCTGAAGTTCCCAAAAGGAAAAAACAGAGAAACATATTTAGCAAGATCAAAGAAGCATGGTTAAATAGAAGTAATGTTTTAGTGTCAATGTTTTTTATTATTCAATAATTCTTTAGTGTCAGTAAGTTAGCGCACTTCTTTTTGTGCTTTAACACAGTCCTATTATCAAAGAAACACAGTTCAGATTTCAGAATTGCTCTGGATTGAATTTGAGCATCCTAAATCTATAATATAGAAGGACACAGCATAAACATGACCAATAAACCGAACCTTTACTACATATAGGACAAACCGCTCCAGATCAAGGCAGCGCAGTAGAAAATGAGCTCCGACCACAACCATGACTGGACGCCCCTCACTATCTACACCACCACGGTATCTGTAATGGAAAATAAATATTAAACTTAGCATAGAACCGCCATCAAAAAAGTCAAATTTTGGGATCACCACCTACACCACCACAGTATCTCTAATGAAAAATAAAACTTAGACCAAGTAAATACGTTCAAAAAGATACAACTTTTAGGAAGCCAAATTGAGCAGACAGCACATCCTCAGAAACTAGGAAATCCAAAAGTTGAATAAGCAGAATACATGAAAGATATTCCCCCCTGAAAGGATGACTCAAATCAAGTGATTCTCTTTTAGAAACATGCCACAAATCAAGCACTCATCCATGTTCATGGGAAGTTTTGAATTTGAATCCCACTTAGTGAGCTAATTATTTACGATTTCCATGATTTCTTTTTAGATAAAAGTGCTAGAAGAGGTACTTCAGAGTACCTCTTTGCATCTTTAAGCAAGGCTGGTGTGAGGATGGATGACCTAAGAAGTCCATGTCTCACATCCATTTTTTCCAATGAAAGATATTCTCTATAGAAGCACAAACGTGTCATAATTACAAAGCTATCAGTATATCACTTGGTGTTGTTAAGATATCAATACACCAAGACAAAACTTCCAGTAAAAGGAACACGAGCAAATTAAAGAAGGCATTAGATGCTTACACAATCCTCATTTCTGCAATTTCTGCCAGATTAAGAGAATTCGCTTTTGCCAGGTATCTTGAATGGAGTGAATACTCCTCAGCAGGAGAAAGTGAAGGTCCTCCAAGGTAACCAAATCCCAGCAATTTAGTACAATTCCAACCAGATTGAGCCTGAGCAGCTTTATGCCATTGTTCCTTCCGCCTTTGGTCTGGATCCTTACTTAAGGACATGAAAGCCGGATCCAAGTATGAATCCAGGTAAGATGAATTCCTGCATGCATTTCATTTCTTCAGTAAAGATTAATTGACCAAAGAAATCAGTAGAACCCGTGCTCATTAGATAGCCATGCAATGTAAAGTATATCGTAGAAAAGGTTTTGCATCCCCAGTAATGTATGAGTTTTGTGTGCAAGATAAGACAAATAGGGGATAAACCTTATCCAGCAGTGTGACACCCACGAAAACATGAAACTTACAAAGGCAGAGGAAACCATTATCTGAAGGCTAATGCAAAACCAAAATAATTACCGGAAAATAGAATCACAAAGAGACACCTCCCAGTTGAGAACATAGTGGTACATTATGTCCAGAGTGTAACCAAGCTTTACGAAATTTAAGGAAAATCAGTAATTTAGCAGTTAACACTACATGCAAGGGGCAACTGTAATGGTCAATACTGTCAATGATTTGGGTATGGCATGTGAAAAGCCATATTTGCAGGACAATCTCTTTCCCATCACAAGGTGAACATATGAATTCATTGTGAACAAATATTTCTTCAAGCAGTATATAGGAATATTAAGAGAAGGTGTACTGGCGCTGATGGATCTGACCATTCCAATACTTTCCAAACTCAAAGACAACAATGAGTGGCCAATGGAGTTAACTAAAAACAATGTTCAATTACAACCCACCGTCTCAATGTCAATCCAACATCACTGGGGGGAAGCTCTACAGGAGCCTTTGGAGGCTTAGGAATGGTCGAGGACACAGCAGGAAGAGGCTTTATTCTAATTTTGCGTTCATCTATTGTTGTCTCACCATTCTCATCACCAACATCTGCTGGAAGCTTTGATAATGCCACCTCTTCTTCATGTTTATCCCGAGGGAAGTAAAGTGGAAGCAATCTGCAAAAGGAAGTAAAAAAGATTGAAATTGGTGAAGTAAAGCACACAAAAAGAAATGTTTGAACCATAAAATTCATTTTTCTACTTTTTTTAATAAGCAACCACAAGAAGTTGAACTTATCTTTTTTACCGCAACAAGACAAGTTGAACTGTTTAGAAAATAAAATGTAAAATGGAACAAGGAAAATTATCCATATTCACAGCCTCTGCAACTTAAATGAGTAACCTCATTTCAATTGGCTGACATCTCTTTTTTAACAAAGAAAATTGACATAGGTCATCACCGACACTTAGTTCCAAAAAAATTCTTGCAACCGAGAATTAAGAATGCAACTGCTCACGTAAATAAGACGCAAAATAAGAACCACAAAAGAGTATTTGGCTGTCAAATATCCGCATCTTTACAATACAAACCCTAGATTTTACAGACTCATCCAATATAAAAAGATCTGTGACATGTGATGTATTGTGCATACATGGGTAACATCAATGGGCAAGAAAGAGAAGAACAGCCAAAGGCTTGGGCGTGAATTGGACCAAACATAAGAAAACAAGGTCAAATTGGCCATTCTAAGCCTTTTTCTACAGCCAGAGCAGCATTATCTGCATTTCTGTGCTTGTTCACAATATCCAAATGGGTGATAGTACTTGTGCGGCTACCTTGCTACTTAGGTCAATTTTTGTATTTGAACAGTGTATTTTTCCAATAGGCAAGACTTTTTACTCAATGCTAAGATTCACTATTATGACCACCTGTTGGAAAGCTAACAAAGAGATCTACAAGCTACGCCAGTTTTGCCAATGGGCTTTGCTGGAGAATGCTTCTAAAGACCCCGAATCATCTTCTGAAATTCTTAATGAGTGAAAGTGTAGTTTGGTCTTTGTTAGGGGTAAAGACTGTCATTCATAATAATCGTCTTTTTTTTATTTGTTCAAAGGGTATTTTAGGGTATAAATAATTTACTTAAATCTTAATTTATCTTGGAAATTGGTTGCATGATATTTGATATATCTAGGAAGATAATGCAACTTTTTGGTTTCCAATATATGGATTAAAAGCACGAGTCTCAAACATGAGGTTTTTGAGTCTTGGAAGCTCAATTCACACCCAAGCCTTTGGCTTTTGTTCTCTCTTTTGCCCAATTCATGATGTTGCCTAAGGATGTGCCTGTATCAGTAACCCCTCCTGAACTATCAGCTGGTGAGTCCGCCGTAGGAGAAGCTCTCAAAGGGCTGTAGAAATCACTCTCAACAAGAGAATTCAGGCTGAGCTGTCACTCTGCTTTGATGATAGAACCAAATTCATTCCTTATCATCTTCCGCCAAAAACAAACCTAAGGAACCTAATACTCGCATCTCAACCCCACAACAATCCGCATAGGTCAGCCTCAAAGATAAAGAATTTGTTTGGCATCCTAAGACAAGAGTTCCCCTCAGGTGTGTTTGTGGCCAATAGAGTTCTGCACTTGCATCGCAGTTGTGGTAGTTTTCAATGTCACAAAACATGAGGGATGAGATGTCTATGAGGGGCAACGTGACCTGGAACGCATTGATCTCTAGTTTCTTGTTGAATTGTATCTCTTTGAGATTGAGTCACAATGCTCCCAAGAGATGAAAACCTATAGGTTTCGATCTTCTCAATCGAACCTTACTGTTGTGTTTATGCATTAGCATGGCACGATGGGAAGTAAAGAAGCAGGTAGGCCAACCCATGCTGAGGCTTTGAGATGTTGGTCAAATGGAGGTCACTGACCTGCTAGCGCGCACTTTCCAACTCACTGCAAAGTAGAAAGTCTTCTGCCTGCACATTTAATGTCCAACTCTATGAATCACAGATGTCAAGTTCCTTGTGAGGATGCCTTGATTGGACTTTTCAAAGGAGGCATGACAGAGACTTAATGTCTTTCTTCTTGTGCTTAATCATGATTTTAACCTCAGCAGCTTTGCTCATTCTGATGTAATCAGTGCATAATTGTGCTTGAGTTCAGACTTTCAGTCTTGATCAAGTTCATGGGTTAAATATTAGATGGAGCTTAGTTTCCATTGTTTCGACGGGAAATCCTTCTGTTGTTCTCCAGGCTGTGTTTGATTTGTGCGGAAGCACTTGGTTTTCTTAAGAGAATTCAGTAAGCCGAGATGGTACTAGTTGGACTTCTCTGAGAGGAGCTTATGCCATCATTATCCATGGGACATTGCCCTTAGTCTTGTTCAAGAGGCCATGGCTTCGGACATCAAATGAATACGCCTACTTCTGCTGGTTTCTTGTCAGCTTCTGCTGCTCTGCATATTCTGAAGCTTGTCACACAAGCCCATGCTCTGATACTGAAAATGAGACCTAAAAGTCATCGCATATTTGAGTAGACATGCTCTGGGTGTCTTAAATGTTTTCAGTTTCTTGATGGGCCTATCCTTTTGAAGATTAGCGGAAGTATAGATGTGACAACAGTGTGCATGACGACAGGCCAAACGTGGCAAAGAACTTTGATGCTGTCATGACCTCTCTCGAACATTGCTGTTATGGGAAAGGCACTCCTGTCAACGTGTTAACAATAGGAGGCTTCAGTGCCTGGTCTCAACTAGAACTCCTGCATTTGAGATGTGGAGGTTTTGATAGTATTGGGGTTGTTCTCTCTATTTGTTCTCTCTATCTACAACTCCACTGAAATCGGAAAGCAGTTTAGAACTTCGACCGAGTCAGACCCAGTAGGTGCTGCAGGTGAAACATTATGATGTGGCTACCTAGATGGACTAGGTGCCCCTCATTTTACTGCAAATGGAGCGGAAAGAGATAGGTAAGATACATGTGTCAACTATAATACGGTTATCATTTGCAGTCGTACCAGATTTGCATTGAAGTTCTTTATTTTCAGATGGCACCATTAAATGTTAACGGTGTGTTTGATGGCTATGTGAGAGCCAAACGTATTGGTCCCTGTGTTGGCTATGAAGTGAGCAACGTGGGTGATGCACATGGGCTAATTAGCACTGCTGTTTCCAATGCTCTGATGGGAGACAAGCCTGTTCGGTCTACGCTGTAGTCTAATTATTATTCCTCACCCAACTTTCAGTTGCAAGGCCATGCATTTCTTCCTTTCAGCAAGCAGATAAATCAGCCACCCCTTGAAGTTACAGTTAGAAGTGCCAAAGTCGTGAACAAGACAGTAATCCCAGTGCTGGTTGGCACCAAAAACGGATTTGCATACACACATGAAGCATTCATCGACTTAATCAATGCTTGTGTCCAGGCCCTAGCTCTTATGCCATAAGCTAATGACCAAATCATCATATCACCCTCACCTCTTAAGAGCCCATGGTTGACCTATGAGCACTGCATCTCATAGTACTAGAAGTGAGGCTGTGAAATCAGTTAATGCCTCTTCATGACCAATCTTTACAGCTCACAACTTAGCCGATTATTTGCTTCATTTCAAAAGAGAGGAAGCTCTTGTGGGGTTTTTATTATCGTCCATAGTAGTGGTTTAAAGAAGGCGCATGGATTTTATCATTTGGTGGAAGGAGAACTTCGTCAACAGGAGTTAACGCTTCAACTTTGGCAAGGGTTTTCGACACCAGCCCCAAAGTTGACAGCTTTTTGCTTACTATACATGCCAAATTTGGAACCATTTGGAACATGCCAAAAATATTTGACCTTGTGCCTCAAAAGAAGAAAAACCTAGGAGTCCTAGGCCTTCACCATTTGCGAAGGAAGGATGGTGAATGCAGTGCCAAAAACTCAAAGGCGAGTCCTTTCCAACATGGGGAGGATGATGTAGATCACATCTGAGGCTGGGGTTAAACCCAAGAGCTAGGCTGAGCTGAACTTTGAAGGCAGACATGTTTGAAATTGCCTTATTTGTTAAGTTGCGCGTGTTGGAATTGTCATGCCAGTGAAGTCCTTTTTTCTTGTAATTTATAGTTAAGGGACAAGATTGGGCTCCATGTAACGTAGAAGGTGAGGTGTCTGCGTGGATTCAAAGTAGGTTATGTTGTTTTGAGTTCCCAGGAGTCAGAGTCAACAGTCAAGAGTTCCAATGAGTCACTCAAGGTGATCTAGAGTTGATGTATTGAGGGTCCCTATAGGTGGGACTTGGATGCATGCAGGAATTGGGATTGATGCAGGCTGCATCCATGATGCATGTTGACTTCGTTGTGTGGGAAATTGGAGAATGAGCGTATTTTAGTCATTTCTCTTTGAACAATTGTTTCATGTGGGCTGGACCGCATTTCTACAAAATGAGGTCCAGAGGTATAAAGCATCCATCTTAAAGATTGACGCAAAT